TCTTGGTGCCATGATTGTTTGCCAACATTCCCCAAGTCAGACGAGGTGATCTTGGCGCCACGAACTAATGGTGCTTGATTGGTGTTCAGCTGAGTGTCTTGGTCCCACAACTGGCTATCATGATTTTCCAGGTTGAACCGAGTGATCTTGATGATATAGTCTATCAGTTTTCAATTTGCGCTCAGCCTGGAGATTTTGGTGCCACTGCTTATTTTCTTTGATTTGAATTTACAATCATCGCACCATGGTTAAATGATCTTCAAAATGCAGTAATCTGGACAGCCTTGGTCCCACGATTGGTTGTCTTCATTCCCCAGGTCAGACTGGGCATCTTGGCACCACAGCTTACAAGTTCTCGATTTGCGCTCAGACAATAAAACTTGGCACCAGGGCTGGCTGTCTCTCTTCTCCGAGCTAGATCATGTGATCCTGGCACCCCGTCTATCGATATTTTCTTTACGCTCCATCGGGTAATCTTGGCACTACAGTTCTCTAGTCTTTAATCTAAGCTGGGTCAAGAAATATTGGCGTGACACCTAGCTGTCTCCATTCCTTAAGTTGGACTGGGCGATCTTGGCACCACGGATCATCGATTTTCGATTCGCACTCAACCAAGAGATCTTGGCGCTAAGGTTGGGTCGAGCGATCTTGGCGCCACGGTCTCCCAGTCCTTGATTTGCGCTTAACCGGGCAATCTTGGGGACACAACTGGCTCTTTTCATTCACGGATCAGACTGGCTGATCTTGGAGCAACGATCTCCTGATCTTTGATTTGCACTCAACCAAGCTATCTTGATGCCACGACTATCTGTATTCATTCCATATGTTGGATCATGCGATCATGGCTCCACTATCTACCAGTCTTTTATTATTGCTCAATCAGACATTATTGGTGCCACGGTTGGTTGTCTTTATTCTCTGGGTCATATCGGATGAATTTGTTGCCACGATCTAACGGTCTTCAATTTGTGGACAACTGTACATTCTTGGTGCCACGACTGACTGTCTTCATTCCTAGGGTCAAACCAGGCTATCTTGGCTCCACGATCTATCAGCCTTTGATTTCCGCTCGATTAGGCGATCATTGTGCCACTGTCGACTTCCTTCATTCCAGTCAGACCGAGTAATTTTGACGCCACGAACTATTGGTCCTTGATTTACGCTAAGTCTTACAATCTTGGTGTCGTAGTTGGCTGTCATTATTTGTCATTATTCCTCAGATTAGATCGAGTGATCGTAGTTCCATGGTCTACCAGTCTTCAATTTCCGCTCAGTTGGGCGATCTTGGTACAACTGGTAGTCTCCACTCGCCATGTCGAACCACGCAATCTTGGTGCCACAGTCTACTTATCTTCGTTTTGTGCTTAGTCGTGTGATCTTAATATCACTGTTGGTTGTCTTCATTCCTCGGATCGGACTGGTGATCTTGGCACCATGGTCTATCGGCCTTTGATTTGCGCTCAGTCGGGCTATCTTGGCGCCACGGCTGGCTCTCTACATTTTAGGATCAGACAGTTAATCTTAGTGTCACGGTCTCTCGGTCTTTGATTTGCGCTCAGCTGGCTGATATTGGTGCCATGGTCGGCCGTATTCATTTCACATGCTTTACCACATGCTGGACCAGGCGAACTTGGCACCACGGTATGCCAGCATTCGATTTGTACTCAGCCGGATAATCTTGAGCCACGACTCGCTGACTTCATTTCTTGGGTCTGACCGTATCTTGGCACTAAGGTTTACTAGTCTTCGATTAACGATTAGTCAGACGATCTTTGCACCATAGCTAGTTGTAATCATTCCTTGGATCAGATCGACAATCTTAGCACCATGGTCTACCGGTCTTCGATTTGCGCCTCACCCAAGCGTTCTTCATGCCATGAACTACCAGTCATCAAATTAGGCTTAGTCGGGTGATCTTGACGCTAGAGCTGACTATCAACATTCCCCACGTCGGGCCGTAAGATCCTGGCATCATGGCTTGTCGGCCTTCGATTTACACTCAGCAGAGCGATCTGGGCACCACCGATAGTTGTCTCCATACCTCGGGTTGGACTGGGAGATCTTGGCATCACGATATAACGATATTCGTTTTGTGGCAGTCACGTGGTCTTGGTGTTGTTGCTGGTTGTCTTCATTCCTAACGTTTGACCGAGCGACCATGGCATCGTGGTCTCTCGTTCTTTGATTTGCGCTCAACGGGCCAATTGTGGAGCCACAACTGGCTCGCTTCATTCTAGAGGCAGACTGGGTGGGTGATCTTGGCGCCACGACTTCCGATCATTAATTTGTGCTCAGTGAGACGACCTTGCACCACAGCTAAATGTATTCATTCCCCATGTCAGACCGGGCAATCTTGAGGCCACGTCTACTGGTCTTCGATTCGTAGTAAGCCACACAATCTTGATGCCATGGTTTCGTTTTCATTCCTCGGGTCAGACCGGGTGATTTTAGATCCACGGTCTACCGATCTTTGATTAGCGCTTAGTCGAACAATCTTGCACCACAACTAGTTGTCTTCATTCCCAGCGGTTAAATCAAGCAATCTTAGTGTCATGGTTTATCAGTCTTTCAATTTTTGCTCAGCAGTGCGATCTTGGTGCTCTAGTTTTCTTTATTCCCCGGGTCAGACAGGACGATCTTGGCTCCACAAACTACCGATCTTTGATTTGTGCTCAGTCAAGCAGCCTTGGCGCCATGGCTGACATTCATGATTTCCTAGGTTGGATCGGGCGATCTTGGCGTCATGGTCTACTTGTCTTCGATTTGCGCTCAACCGAGCGATCTTGGCACCATAGGTGGTTGTCTTCATTCCTCATGTCCTACCAAGCAATCTTGACACCACGATCTACCGATTTTCATTTTGAGCTCAGTCGAGCGATCTTAGTGCCTCGATTGGTTGTTTTCATTTTTCGAGTCAGGGCGGGTGATCATGGCGCCACGATCTACCCATCTTTGATTTGCGCTGAACCGGGCGATCTTAGCACCACAGCTAACTGTCCTCATTCCCCGAGTCGAACTGGGCAATCTTTGCATCACAGTGTTCCAATTTTCGATTTACGCTCAAACAAACGATCTCGGCGCCAAAGCTAGTTGTCTCCATTCCTCGGGTTGGACCAGACGATCTTGGCGTCACAATCTACCAGCATTTGATTGGCGCTCAGCAGGGCGATCTTGGGGCCACGACTAGCTGTCTTCATTTTCAGGTCGGACGGTCTATCTTGGCACCACGATCTATCGGTCTTTGATTTGCTCAGAGTCGAGTGAATTTGGCACTATGACTAGTTGTCTCTGTTCACCACGTTGAACCGGGCGATCTTGACACCACATTCTTTCGATCTTTGATTCGTCCTCAGTCCAGCGACCTTGGCGCTACGACTAACTGCCTTCATTCCCAGGTCGAACAGAGCAAACTTGGCGCTACAATCTACCAGTCTTTGATTTGCGCTCAAGCGAGCGATCTTGGCGCCACGGTTGGCAATCTCCATTCTCTAGGTCAGACAGGTTGATCCTAGTACCACAATTTATCGGTCTTCGATTCGTGCTCAGCCAAGGGATCTTGACAAAAGATTAGTTGTATTCATTTCTCAGGTCCAACCAGGCTATCTTGGCACCACGGTCTACCTATCATCAATTTGCGCACAGTTGGGCGATCCCAGTGTCACAGCTGGTTGTCTTCTTCCCTAGGTTGGACCAGATGATTTTGGAGCAACGATCTCCCAGTCTTTGATTTGTGCTCAGCCAGACAATCTTGGCACAACAGCTCGCTATCTTCATCCTCCGGGTCGAGCTGGGCAATCTTACGGTCTACTGGTCTTCAACATTTGCTCGAGGGCCTTTTATTTTCTTCACTTCCTCCAAGCGCTTTTCTAACATAAATGTTTCAGCTTTTAGGTTAGTGCGACGTTCATTAATTTTTTACACAATTTCAGTATAGCACTATTTAGAAGATTTGAATTGCTAACAAAGTAATGAAATAATTTTTATCTAAGACTTTTTTATGCAAAGAATACATAAGTGGAATCATGAAAGAAATACTAATTTTTTTTTCTTTTCAGACGAGCTAGGTATAAAATTGAGCGTTCCTTCTAAGAGTGCGACCGGGCAGGACACCTTTTCCTCCAAAGATCGTTGCGACTACCCCAACACGACATTCATTCAAACGGGCCCGGGCAAGGCCTCCAGTGCCGATGTTTTCCCTTGTCTCTGACCTGAGTATCCTTCGGCCACGAACTCATTCAGTTTCCCAATCTTGATCAACTCCTCCATGAGACTCCAAAGGTACTTACAT